CAGAATGGTAGGGGTGAGAGCTTTGGCAGAATGGTAGGGGTGAGAGCACTCAAATCTGTTGATTACCTGAACTGCCATATTAATGAACTATTAATCTTTTTTTCCTAGACACTCAGATGTAAAGCAGACTTGTTTTGGGGCTCTCCCGTTCGCTTGCCCTCAAGTCCCAGAAACTGCTTTGTCTTTCTACTTTCACTAAGTCTCAAAACAGTTCCTTCCTCTCCCATCCCACAGCTCTGTCCTCATCCAAGTCTTTGAAGAAGGCATTACAAATTAATGAAGAAAGGTTAGGCTTTTTAATAAATAACGCTAGAACAACCAGTTATCCGTGTTTCCCCCCAAAAAGATGCAGATCTTAAGACATATACAAGTTCTAAATGTGAAACATAAAACTTTTGGAAGAAATGTAGGAAATTTGTGACTTTGGTTATTACAGATTTCTTTGATAAAAAATTCAAAGCCCATAAGGAAAAAGATTTACTAATTTGACTAAAATTAAAGACACCATTAACAAGTGAAACTAGTAGCCTGGGAAAATATATTTACAACACATAGAGCCAACAAGTGGTGGTATCCAGAATTATAAATTTGATTTGATTTCCTTCAACTCAACCTTACAGAGAATTAGAGAAAGGAAATAAATTCACAAAAGGGGAACCAAAGAACCGATAAACTTTGATAAGATGCTCAATTTCACTATTAGAGAAATACATATTAAAACTACAAAGAGATACTATGTAGTTATATTTATTTATATCCATGAGATTTATATCCATGAGATTAGTTAAAAGTATAAAAGTCTTATAATATCAAGTGTTACTAAGGATGTGAATCATTGGAAATTTTCATATACTGCTTGGTATGATCACTTTGGAGAGCATTTGACAATATCTAGCAAATCTAAAAATATGCATACCCTGTGACCCAGCAATTCCACTCTAGTGTGTATCTAGGGTATCTACTGTAATAATCCCAGTTAATGTAGTACACGTAAATGAAGAGATATAAACAAGAATATTCTTAAATATCCCCTTATAATATCTTAAATATTCTTAAATATAAACAAGAATATTCTTAAAAACATTATTTGTAATTGAAAAATGAAACAAGCTAGATGACCATCAACAAAAGACAGTTTAAATAAAAAGTGGTATATTGCAAAATGTACTACTATTCAGTTATGAATAAGCTAGACCAATACATATAGATCTAATTTCTAAGTCACTATTAAATGAAAAAGCAAATTGCAGGATATATACATTTTCATATAAACATACCATTTATGATAAATTTAATAACATGCAAAGTAAGTAATATGTTGTTTATGGATATAATATAAAATATAATATTTTATTATTATATATACTAATAATAACATATACTAACTTAGGACAATAGTTACCACTGGGAAGGAAGGAAAAGAATAAGATTGGGAAAGGTTAAGATGCTTCAATTATATATATATTTTTTTTCCTTATGCTCAATGGTAGCACATGGGTATTTATTATGTTATTCTCTATATTTCTGTATGCTTGAAATTAAAAAATAATTTAATAAAATCAACATATTGCTAAATTACAGACCTCTTCAGCCTGGCATTCAAGACTCTTCACAATATTATCCAACTTCCTTTTCTAGCCTCATCCTCTGCTGTTTTCTACAGCAGTGTTTCCCAAGCCGTGGACACATACATGCTTCCTTCATTATTTTTTTATGTACGCCATCTCTATTATGGTTATTTTTCTTTCCATAGTTTTTAACTTAAATAGCCTGTACAAATCACTAACAGGAAATCACATGTTTAATATGCCAGTTATATTTTTCTAATATGAATATAAATAAATACATATAGATTAAAATATGTATGCTGGTGCTACCTAAAAACATCAAGTATCACACTTTGGGTTGCAACCTTACACCAGTGGTTCTCAAATTTGTTGTACAAGACTACTTGGGAGGCTTGTTAGAACTGGAGACTCCCAAGTCATAGAGGATCCTAATTTAGGCAGTCAGAAGACAGAAATCCTACTCTACATGTACCCTTGACACCTAACAAATTGGACTATCTGCCATTCTCTGGACAAGCTCTACATTTTCCTTTTCCAATGCCTTTCCTCTTGTTACTTCCTCTGCTTGAAGTAACCTTCCTTCTCCTTAAGCCTATACTTTAAGTACCAAATTAAATACCACCATCACAATAAAGAACTTTGACTTGGATGTGACATTGTTCTCATTTCAGCATCCTTCCTTCCGCTGTCAATTTTTTCCTATTTCTGTATGGGTGCTTATCATATTCAATGTAATGTATATGTACTTGTCTTATTCCCTCTCCTGGCCTATAAATGCTGCTTGAGGGCAGAAGCCTTATACCTGTTCAAAAGTAGGGATTATGGCTTGGTCATTTTATACTTTCAACATGGTAGTTACTCAGATACTTGCTGAGCTGAGCTCTGCTAAACACTAAATTAATTTCACAATTTTATTAATATTTTAAAAATCATGTAGTATAAGGCATTAGAATACTCATCCATACAGCATTACAAATTAAACATGAGAATCTAGGCTACCTAGCTTTATTTTCAAAATGAGACAACTGAAATTATATCCTACCTTGAAACAAATAATTTAAATTGTTTTAATTTTGAAAGAGAAAAAGTAAGTTTAACATAAAAATGCCAAGTTCAGTTTTTAAGATGAAAAGGAAAACTATTTAACTTAACAACCTTCCAAGCAAAAGTAAATGATCAAGTTATTAATCAACAAAGAGTTTTTGATACTGCTATGAAAAGCTATTAACTTAAGAACAACACTATTATTAAATAAAGTTAATTGACTCTGGCAAAATTCTCAGTACTTCCAAATGATATTTCAATATGGCTTCCCTTTGTTTAACTATTGCATATTACTCTGATGCATCATGAGCAATAATTTCTAAATATTCTTCCCATGTAAAAACCATAATATATATAAATATATACACTTAAAAATATACAGGCAATATATTATATATATATGCATATATATATAACCCACAAAAACTGTAAGTTTTAATCAGAAAATATCAACATGCAACTCATTTGTTCATCTTGTTTCTTCAATTTGGTAATAATCTGATTTGTTTCTATTCCAGGAATAGACTACTTTACTGTTTTAAACACACTTATTTTCACCTAGAGAGAAAATAAACTAGTAGAAACAGAAGCAGGGCTTCAGGTGGGAAATGGTCATCAACATCACTCTACATTATCATATCAGCTGGATTTGTGTGTTTTAGCACATATTTGACATGATACTGAATTGCCAAAGAAAAATCAAACAAATGTATATACTAACTTCAAGTAATTAAAAGAGGGGGGAAATGGAGAAGACACATTTTGTTTCGTTCACTTGGCCCTCTGGGTTAAAAAGGAGAATGAAAAGATGACAACTACGAGAAATGTAGAATAAGGAAAGGTTCTCACACATCTCATTTTCTCCTCTCATTCATTTTTCTGTCATCTTCCTGTTAAATTTCCTCTTTTGCAGGGCAGGTCAAGTAAACTAAACTTAGCTTGTATGAAACTTTTTATTTAACTTTTCCATTCTATTCTTACATTGTAAAAAATCAAATTTCAACCCATCAGGTCCATTTTCCAGAAGAAAACTAACTGGAAATTAAAGCAGTAATGAGTATTATTACAGCTGAGCTCAAGTTAAAAACTCCAAAAAATGAATCTAGTATTGGTTTTACTTAGCATAAAATAAGTAATAAGCTTCCTAAATAAGTAATCTTTTTTATTTTCCAAAGTATTAAATATAGACAGACCTTAAGGTTCTTAAATGTTTTAGCAGTACTCAAGGACCAAAAAAATGCAGAAGTTTAAAGGTAATGAGAGGGAGTTAAATAAACCTATTTCAAAGATCCTATAAGTAGAATAGATCAGATTAGACAAGCTTATTGGAAGGTAACAACACAGCTCATTTTATAAAGCAGTTTTGAGAAATCCAAAAATACCATTTCTCTTAAAAAAAAATCAAAGAAGCACTTGGACTAACAAGAAATAATGCACAATTTGGCTTGATCAAATACTTCATTAATTTTTTTCTACTCCCTAAGGTATTGCCCTTTTAAAATCCTCTTCAAATAAAATATAACCTAATTGCTTGCACACGGCTAGTTTGCAAAGGGATTTTTATTTCAACAGTGCCACCTAGTGGAGCAATTGATACTTTCAACTGGTCACTAGTTGGTTTCATTGGTCTCAAAGGCTAGGAGTCCACAGATAGTTTTATTTTTCTGGTTCACAATATTCCTAATAATATTAACATTCAAGGGGAAAATTTACAAAAGAATAATTTACAGATTTTTGTCCTCTGATAGGTTATCTCTAATAAAAATTAGGTTTTTTACAAATATTATTATATTTTAAATAAAAGTACCTTAGTGATTTCTTCAGAAGCTCGTTTGAAGTCCTGAACATTTCGACAGTAAAATCCTATTGTACAGCTAGGATCCATTTTTCGAAATGACATCTTTTTGGGAGAAGGACAGTGGAATGTCTGCAATTTTAAAAGTTCTTTAGGATTAATTTGGTTTTATTTGATGGACTTCAATATATACAAGATATTACTTAATTTAAAATTTGCCATCTAGCTTTTCTCATAAATATGCTTTCAAACAGTGTTTTAGTCTGTCCTATGTAAATGGTCCTTTCCACTCTCCAAAGCTGTAAAACATGACAGCCAACATTGTTTACATTCGATTCAAATCTCCACCTTCTGTGGCATTAGTGCCATTCTGTAAAAGAAAACACGTGTGTCAAAGTGGTATGCATTTCTAACACTTGCAGAAGGGAGGGAAAATGTGCCACTGGAAAAGACATACATAAGCTAGTACAAGGTTTAGAATCAAGTTAGTTATTTCTATGAAAATTCAATTAAACCTGGGGTTTTGGGGGGAGTTGAGATTTTTTTAAAAAGATTTTATTTATTTATTTATTTGAGAGAGAGAGAAAGAGAGCAAACATAAGCAGGGTTGGGGGGAGGGCAGAGGGAGAAGCAGATTCCCCGCTGAGCAGGGAGCTCGATCCCAGGATCCTGAGATCATGACCTGAGCCAAAGGCAGACATTTAACCGACTGAGCCACCCAGGCGCCCCTTTTTTGAAAATTTTTTTTTAATGTTTAAAACCCTTTAATAAGGATACCAAGACTTTGTAAACAAATATACAGATTTATGTAAATGTTCCATTATGATATGAAAAGAGGTCAACTTCAGAGTTTTAGCAGTTGACACAATCAGTACATAATTGCATAGTCTCCCAACCCACTCTTCTATGCTTTACTTTAAATTCTTGTTTATTCCCATATGGGACACAGTTGAAAATTGTTCTGTTATGGTCCTTGCTCTCCTCCTTACCATTCCTGCCCCTTCAGTTCACTTTTCTCATGTGGTCACAGTGCCACAGACATAAATTGGCTGGGGAAGCTGCACTAGCCTCTCTGCTCTTGCTAATGGGATATAGATAACTGGTAGAGTCTGGGATCTTTAGAAAATACAAAAGAAAAGGGAAGAATATAAAGCTAATCACTCCAGTCTTTTTTCCTTCACCACCACATTCTGGTGCTTTGCCTAAAAGATTTTTTTTAACTGCTTGAATGCTCAGATATCTTGTCCTTAAAAATCACTGAGGCTACCAAAGTCTGTTTTTCTGTGTATAAAAAAATGTTTACATGTAAAAAAGGAGGGCCATAAAAAATAAACATATTCATATTTGTTTATGTTTGTATAAATGAACTGTAAGGATATACCAAAATTAACAAGTTTAGGGGACAGAGAGAAAACTGGGCAGATGGTAGACAGGTGTGAGAAATTCTTTGTTGTATATTCTGTATTTTTTAATTAAAGAATAAGCTCAATTAAGAAATGATCTAAGGGGCACCTGGGTGGCTCAGTTGGTTAAGCATCCGACTCTTGATTTTGGCTCAGGTAATGATCCCAGGGTTGTGAGATGGAGCCCCCATCTCAGTTCACGCTGGGGATGGAGCCTGCTTAAGATTCTCCCTCCCTATCCCTCTCCCGCTGCACCTCCCCCACTTGCTTGTGCACATGTGTTCTTTCTCTCAAAAAAAAAAAGAAAAGAAAAGAAATGATCTAGGCTGAATTTGAACCCATAAAATTAAAATTTCCCTATGTTTAATACCTAAAACGAAGGGATTTTAACTTGAAACTATCTATTAAAATACATAGGCTTTCATATTTATGTTCATGGTAAATCAGTCAAAAATCACTCTTTTCTCTCCCCCGATATCCATCCTGGTGATTCAATTAGTGTCCCATGTTATCACAAGAGAATATGCAAAATGCATACATTCAAGCTGCTTTTTTCCCTTGCAGATAGTTCAATCATATATTAGATTCAAATCCACTATCATTGCAGTAAATATAGCCAAACAAATGTGTTTTCAAAATTATGACTTCTATAAAATGTTTAGCCAATACTTACCTTATATAGTGAGATCCAACCTAACTAAACTTGAGTCTCCAAAGTAGGAATCAACACAAGTATTGTCTTAGTTGGACTTTTTTCAACACTGTTTCACCTGCTTTATTTACCTGTTTTATTGAAAACAAATCTAAAAAGGCACAGAAGAGCTACATAAACTTGTTAACAATATACAAGAGTATATTAGTGCATAAGGCACAGAAGGCTCTAAGTCATATTTAAAAAAATTATTCTAGGGGCACCTGGGTGGCTCAATCAGTTAAGCGTCTGCCTTCAGCTCAGGTCATGATCCCAGGACCTGGGATGGAGCCCTGTGTCAGGCTCAGCAGGGGATCAGCTTCTACCCCGTCTCCCTCTTCTCCTCCTCCCCACTTGTATTCTCTCTCTTTTTCTCTCTCTCAAATAAATAAAGCTTTTTTAAAAAAGTTATTCTAGGGGCGCCTGGGTGGCTCAGTTGGTTAAGCCGCTGCCTTCGGCTCAGGTCATGGTCCTGGAGTCCTGGGATCGAGTCCCGCATCAGACTCCCTGTTCGGCAGGGAGTCTGCTTCTCCCTCTGACCCTCCCCCCTCTCATGCTCTCTCTCTTTCTCTTAAATAAATAAATAAATAAATAAATAAATAAATAAATAAATAAAAAGTTTAAAAAATAAAAAAGTTATTCTACATACATATAAGCTATCTAAAAATAATCACCCTACTCTTTCCAAAGCCAATAATAAGGAATACTTAGTTTTTACTACTTGGGGATAAGAAAGAAGGGCGAAAGGTTTTTACAGGATCCAACAAAGTATTTTTTAAACTCATCTACAAGGATGTCCTACATTACGCTAAATTATGTTTTCATGTAAAAACTAGTAAGACTAAACCAAATAGGTTTAGTGTTGTTTCACTGTATTGCCTCAATGATGACAGATAATGACAAACACTACATTGTTATTCCTGGTTGTTTTGATATCTATAAAGATCTTTTTAAATTATTCACAAAAACACAGATATAAATCTCTGATAACTGAAAACTGAAATTGCTATTGGGTGTAACTTTATGAGTACTAGGACTCATATTACAAAGAGGCATTTTATACCATTAAAACTAAAAATTATATTTTTTCGCTCACCCAAGAAGATTCTGAAGTCAAGCCAACATTAATTGATAATTCAGAATCTTTTCTATTTATTGCAGAACAAGTTAGACTTTAAAATATTTTGCCAAGGGGTGTTACACAGCTATATTTACTTTGTGATAATGCTTTGAGCCATGTACTTACAATTGCTTTTTTAATTTTTAAAATTCTGAAGATTGGTAAGAGTAGCACCCTCTATAAACACATTTTAGGGAGTATTTACTAGATACACTTCTGTGACAATGAAATATGTTTCTGAAAAAATTAGTCAAGGTGAGTCAATTCCCATTTATTTCATTTTTCAATACATTATTTATTCACTGCCTCAACAAATAGTTATTAGGTGCCTACCAAATACCAAGTACTGTTCTAGGCTTAGTTTTTTGGAATAGTGGATCCTGTTACCTAAACATACAAATAATACTGAAACAAATACTTTTAGGTGTAGCTATGCTATTTTGGTGATTTAGATGGAGCTTCCTAAAATAGTTAGAGAATACCCTTACTATAAAGCACCTCCTACCAACTGCAGTTCACATGTGTAATTCATAAAGGGTACATCTTTCACTGATGAATTCACTCATCCACCTATCTAATCATATCACATCATTCTTAAGCTTTAATGTCACTATTCTTTGATTTTACTAGGGTAGAATAAAATAATCACCACTGCGTGGACATCCTAAAATCTGAAACTTGAAACTGGGGGCCCAGGAATCACAACAGACTAACATGTCTACTAATAAGACTTTTCTTGCATTATTACTAGATTATTAGTATTTAGTAAATCAAATATTGTCTTAATAATAGAATAGAATTTGGGGGATGGGGGGATGGATTAGCCCAGTGATGGGTATTAAGGAGGGCACGTACTGCGTGGAGGACTGGGTGTTATACACAAACAATGAATCACGCAACACTACATCAAAAACTAATGATGTACTGTATGATGACTAACATAACATAATTTTAAAAATGCAAAAACAGAATAGGATAGAATTTGTTATTTATAAGAGTTAGAACCAGTCATTCTGAAAGTGTATCATATATAACATGAAGCAATAGTCTCTGGTTTCAGAAATCTTATTAAATACCCCCCCACACACACACACACAAATATATACATATGAAGATATATATCTTCTAGTCCTCTCATCCTGAAAATTGATACTCTGCCTGAACCACTGACAGTGGGAACCCACAGTTCAACATACCCTCACTGCTAAAGCCCATTTGAGTTCTTCTCATTCCCTTCTAATTTCAATTTGTCTTTTCACAACTTTTTTCCTTAAGGTAGTTCATGCTGCTCCTTTATACCCCATTCTCTATATGAAAATTATAGATATATATACATTCATGACTACTTATGTTCACTTCATAATGTCAAAAACTCTGTGAAGATAAAGATGAGTGAAATTCTCTTCTACAAAGTTAATATAAAAATTCAATAGTATATACTAATATATTTTATAAGAAAGTATCATAAGAATGGAAAATTAATACAAATATATACATAATCAAAGGGAAGAAAAGAATTCAACAGACAACTAACTATAGTGCTTAGGACAGTGCCTTGCATATGGAGAGAGCTCAATAAATGGTAGTTTAAAAAAGAATACATGAGGGGTACCTGGGTGGCTCAGTCGGTTAAGTGTTTGACTTTGGCTCAGGTCATGATCTCAGAGTCCTGGGATCGAGCCCTGTGTTGGGCTCCCCACTCAGTGGGGAGTCTGTTTCTCCCTCATCCTCTGCCCCTCCCGCCACTCATGCCCACTGTGTCTCTCTCTCACAAATAAATAATAAAATCGTTTAAAAAATAAAAAAGAATACTTGGTCTGATTTGGTTTCAAAATTTTAAAAGTTCAACTCTAAATATATAGGAATTCACTACCATAAGAACAACAAAAGATGTAATCTGCTAAGTCTCCTCTTTAATCTCAAATATTCAGATATCATACTACTTTCTTAAATTCTCATAATTCTACTGGACTCAAAGCACTCACTAAGTGATTACTTACATGGAATTGCATAAAGAGCTAAGATTTTAATTTCTCCATTTATTGACCAAAAACAAGTATTGATCAAAAAAAGTTTCTTTCAAAAATAATTTTGGGTGCCTGGGTGGTTCAGTTGGTTAAGCATCCAACTCTTGATTTCAGCTCAGGTCATGATCTCAGGGTCGTGAGATGGAGCCCCATGTCAGGCTCCATGCTCAGTATGGAGTCTGCTTGGGATTCTCTCTCTCTCCCTCTGTCTCCCCCCCCCCAAAATAATAAATTGAATCTTTAAAAAATAATTTTAATCATTGAGGTATAAGTGTGGTTTTAGAATGCTCATATAATTATGTCAAACAATTGCAAATTTTCAATAGCATAAATACACAGAACCTATATAACAAGCCAAGGATGGCTAATAATATAGGGTAGTTAAAAAACCTCCAGCTGGACCATTTTAAGCTTAAAATATAATCAAAAGCAAAAAGTAAAATTTTATTCCTGTAGAAAAGCAACTTGCTATAGTTTTTATATTACACTCTCATAGAAAAATAAATGATACTATTCACTAAATAGCCTAAGATAAATCCCTGAACTAAGAAAAATGAAAAACTGTCCAAAGGAATTACCCAGATAGGTGGAGATACTCTACCAGCATCTCAAAAATATAAATCTAAACCCACTTTCTCAGTTGTCCTACTGTATAAGAAATAAATGCTTCTGTGCATTTCAGAAGTTACATAACTTCACCAAACTTTGCAAAGTCTCTTAAAATCATTTCCTCTTTTCCGTTCTCATGACCAACACCCAACTTCAAGCTTGTATTGATGCACCTGTGAAGTGTTGCACCTGCCTCCCAATACTGAGCTACAGCCTTTCTAATATTGCTAGTGCAGACATAACCAGGGTAGTCACTCACCTGGTTCCTTTGTAGAATCTTCCAAAATATCAGATGAATAGTCCTTCTCTACTGGTTAAAACAGTCAACAGTAATAATCTTTTAATTTGCCTATTTTAGATAATATTAGAGTGCTATGAATAATTTTCCATCTGAGTTTCAAATATCTACTTTTTTAAGGAGTTAATATGGCACAGTGGAAATGTAACTTAGACACAGGAATCAGTGCCACAAGACCACCACGCAGCTGAAAGAAAATTACAACGTGGTTCACATAGCAAAATTCTGCCACACCTCCCACAGTATCAGTCAACTAGAAATATTTATTAAGGTCTACATGTAAGAAACTATGAGGGAAGAAAACAGAAAGCAAACCTTATGTCTGGCCTTAAGATACTTGTAGTTTTAGTTCAGGTAATAGTCTACAAAGAATGCTAGGATGTTTTATAATGTATCTTTCAGAACCAGATTTTTTTTTTACGATTGATTTTATTTATTTATTTATTTGTTTGTTTGTTTGACAGAGACAGAGCACAAGAAGGTGGAGCACAGAGGGAGAGGGAGAAGCAGGCTCCCCGCGGAGCAGGGAGCCCAAGGTGGGGCTCCATCCCAGGCCCCTGGGATCATGACCTGAGCCGAAGGCAGATGCTTAACAACTGAGCCACCCAGGCGCCCCTTAGAACGAGATTTTAATCTTACAGTTTATTTTCATAATCTATCCTTTAAATACTACTAGATATTAATATTAGCTAGGAAGCTATTACCAAAATAAGTATTAAACCATATTTCCTTGAGAATTAGTGATCCATGCCAATCAAATGATTACGATTATTTTAAAAGTCTGCAAAAGCAACAACTGGGAAAACAAGAACCAAAACCATGTAATAATTACATGTCTCACTTATGCACTCTCAAAATTTTCTGAATTAAAATACTGGGTCACTGGGATGCCTGGCTGGCTCAGTCGGTAGAACATACAACTCTTGATCTCAGAGTTGTGAGTTCGAACCCTGCAGTGGGCATAGAGATTACTAAATAAATAAGTATTTTTTAAAGTAATAATAGGGGCGCCTGAGTGGCTCAGTCGTTAAGCATCTGCCTTCAGCTCAGGTCATGATCCCAGGCTCCTGGGATCAAGCCCGCATCAGGCTCCCTGCTCAGCAGGAAGCCTGCTTCTCCATCTCCCACTCCCCCTGCTTGTGTTCCCTCTCTCACTGTGTCTCTCTCTGTCAAATAAATAAATAAAACCTTTAAAAAAGTAAATAAATAATAAAATTTAAAAATAAAATACTGGATCACAAGTGACCCAACATAAAGGAAAACAATATGTTAAAGCAGACCTAAAACGGGCACGTGGGTGGCTCAATCAGCTAGTCTGCCTTCGGCTTGGTCACAATCTCAGGGTCCTGGGATTGAGCCCCACATCCAGCTCCCTTCTCAGTGGGAGTCTGCTTCTCCCTCTCCCCCTCTCAAATAAATAAATAAAATCTTAAAAAAAAAAAAAAAAAACAAAGCTGGGGCTCCTGGGTGGCTCAGTCGGTTAAGTGTCTGTCTTCGGCTCAGGTCATGATCTCAGGGTCCTGGGATCAAGCCCCACATCCGGCTCCCTGCTTGCAGGAAACCGCTTCTCTGTCTCCTCCCTACTTGTGCTCTCTCTCTCAAATAAAAATTAAAAAAAAAAAAAAAAACAGAGCTAAAACAAATACCAGAAACCCAACTTAGCTCTTGAAAAACTCAACTAGGGGCTAAGACTCAACTATTATACTTAAAATAATTTGGCAGGTAGTCTCAAGTCACTTTGTCATTCTAACCCAACTCCATCACCTTTTTCTTCCCCCCCTTTTTCTTTTTATTAAACATGCCTAACATTTTAAATTCTTCAGTAATATTTAGCTGTTTATCTACAAAATAACTTGGAGGCTTGATCATTTATTTTGGTAGGGCTAGGATATCTTAACAAGTTAGAGACAAAGATAAATGAAGAAGAAAGTGTGTCATAAATTAAAATTCAGCAACAAATTATTTAACCTTTGACCACTGTGTGGAGAATGGTTTTATAAATCAGTAAAATATTATTAACTTGCAATACCATACATCTCTACATACTCAGAGTTTGCCTCATATGGTAAGAAAACAGTACCAGCTCTTTATCCATAGTACCTCAAGAGGGAAATCCTTTATGCTGACATCTACAAAAGATTGGCAGTAATGAGGATCCATGTAAATCAAACTGTCATCTACAAGGACAAAACAGAAGACAAGTAATTCAAAAAACACCTTATTATTACACTGCTTACAATCCAATTTCTATGTAGAACAGCTGAAAAAAACCTGGGAGTAACAGCTTGCCAGACTGATATTCATTGACTGAAACATAGGTTTGCACAGGACAGATTAACTTTTGCATAATCAAATATGCTTGTATAAGCAGAATTTTTATAAAGTGATGAGACTGTCATTTAATTTTTGGTGATAAAATTACTTTCACAAACACACAATTATATTCTACAGTTTGCATATGAAAAATGTATTACACTACTTTATCCTGACAGGAAGAACATATTGCTTGTCATTTTATCATCAACTAGCACCCCTAAAACTGGTAAAAAGTAAATATGTAAATAGTAACTGCCAGAATGTGGCAGCAATGTCTTCTGAAGTTTAGTGAAACCAATAAATTATGCCTGTTTATGCAATAACAGAAATTAAACATACATTTTACAGAATCCAATTATGTTGTGGACCAAATGACAAATGAGTGGCTATGGTAGGACTGATGAATTTGTAAGGTACTCATTTTGCTCTGTTAATCATCCTGTTTCCAAATGATCCCAAATTAACTTTCTGACTTATAAAAGAAAACAATAAAGAAATATATTTTACTAAATCACTGACCTTGAAATCCAGCAAAGTAGTATGACTGTTTAGGTTTGCCACCAATAATACCCACACAATATTCAAGGCTTAAAACACCCTGCCAAAAGAAATTAATTTAATTCAGACTTAGAGTCAAGAGGCAAATGGTAATTATTCAAAACAACCTAATTTGTATTAGCAGTATTAGTATGTATAGTGTTCCCAAATTTTTCACCACCAGTTTTACTGTTATTACATATGCCCGAATATTTTAAAATCCTTTTATCTACCACACTATTTTCCATTTTCTTTAAATAACTCAATATTAACATGACTAAATCATCTATTCTGATCAGCATGTCACTCAACAACATTAACAACTACTATGTGCCAGATACAGAAATAAATAAGGTCACCATATAAAGGCAATAAATCTCCTGCCAGAGCCAAAACACTTGGCCTTTGGGTTAGCTGGTGCAGCCTTATCATAACATAGTATTTTCATCAGGCTTTCTGAAATACTAGAAATAGTCCTTAGACCTTATCACTGTTTTCACTGAATCTTGAGTCTTAGAATCCTAAGCTACAAACCATTTTCTAATTAACAGCATTCATTTGACACATTTTTATGCTATTTCACAAATTTATTGTAATACACATAAAGACAAATGAAAACAATTTAATCCAAGGCAATTAATAATTGTTATTGCACTTAAAGTCAACTTAATTTACTCATCATAAAATATCAGGGATACCTCAATAAATTATTTAGTGTGCCCCTCAGCATCTATTTTAAGTAGAATTCTATTTAAGCAGGCCAAATAATTTTAAACCTTTTTTTAAAGATAGTCTTTTTGTATTGTATTATTTATTTATTTATTTATTTTAGAGGGGAGCAAAGGGGGAGGGATAAGGAGAGAGAGAATCTGGAGCAGACTCCAAGCTGAGCATGGAGCCAGACGTGGGGCTTGATCTCACAACCCTGAGCTGAAACCAAGAGCCCTACACTTAACCGACTAAGCCACCCAGGTGCCCCAATAATTCTATATCTTTTAAAAAACATGTCCAGTGGAATCATGTAAAGTCTTGTCAAAGGTTTAGCTTATATCATGCATATATATATATATATATATATATATATATAGCATATGTTATAAAGTTAAAAAACATTAATAATGATAAAATGAACATTATAAAACCCCAGAAATATTAAATAATAGTTGAACTTTCCTTCTCTTAAATGACAGGATGTTTTGAAATCTAGAACATATAAAAATAACAAGTACATGGGGTGCCTGGGTGGCTCAGTCGGTTAAGCATCCAACTCTTAGTTTTGGCTCAGGTCGTGATCTCAGGGTCGTGAGATGGAGCCCTGCATGGGGCTCCACACTCAGCAGTCAGTATGCTCCAGATTCTCTCTTTCCCTCTCCCTCTGCCCCTCCCACTGCTTTCTCTCTCTTTCAAAATAAATAAATCTTTAAAATAAATTAATAAAAATACAAAGTACATGAATACTTTTTCCCCTTTAACAAGTAATCAAACCATGGAGTATTTTTTTTTATTATTTTCTTAAAAATAATAGGTGGTTGGGGGCACCTCGGTGGTGCAGTCAGTTGAACGCCTGACTCTTGGTTTCCACTCAGGTCGTGATCTCAGGGTTGTGAAATGGGGCCCCACATAGGGCTTCACACTCAGCACGGAGTCCGCTTGAGACTCTCTCTCCCTCTCCCTCTGCCCCTCCCGGCCACACACACATTTCCTCTCTCTAAAATAAATAAATAAATAAATAAATAAATAAATAAATAAATAAATAAAT